TACAATTAAGGGTATTTTTTAAAATAATGATATTAAAAATAATTATAATAAAAATTAAATTAAAGTAATAAAGTTCTGAATTAATTTTATTTTAATAAATAATAATAATGATAATAGTTTTAAAATAATAATAATAAATAATAATAAATACTAGTTTTAAATAAAGATAATATAATAAAATAATAAAGATAATTAAAAATAATAATATTATTGTATATAATAAACAATAATTAATAATATTATTGTAATAATGAAAATAGTTTTTAAGTTTAATAATAAAAGAATAATAAAAAAAATAATAATAATATAATAATAATAATTAAAATAAATATAAAATTGAATAGTAATTAATAATAGTTATAATAATTATAAAATTACATGTTAATAATCATATAATAAATTTATTAAAAAAATATAATAATATAATTTAAAAATTTAAGATTTTATTATTTTATAATAATTTTAATATTACTGAATATTTTAACTAGAAATAATTTTCAATTAAAGAGACGAAAATTCGATCAATTTGAGTCTATTATAGTATTTTTCTTGGATAAAAAAGGAAATCTTATGATTTTTTAAAGTTAAAATACCTTAAAAATCATTTAAAATAAATAAAAAAATAAAGAAACAAGACACTGGAGGTAGGGTTGGTTCGCGGTACGCGGGCATCAATTTGTTGGCGCGCAATGTGTCATGCGTGATCAGGATTTATATGTCGGCGCGCCAAGGCTAATGATTCGCAGTGATTAGGCAATCATTGCGATTTCACTACACGGTAGCGTGGTTTTTGGCCGTCCGATTTGCTGTTTCTGAACGGATGGTCGTGATGAAGTTCGACATGCAACAGTCCGCGGGATTAACAGTAGTTGACGAATCGCTGTTAGGCAAATTGGTTCGTTGAATCACAAGATCGCGGTCAGAATGCAGCTTGTGTAAACCTCAGCTAAACTGAAACCTAGAATGGTTTTTTGATTTTCATCTTATTTACTCACCAAATCTAATGAAATTTTACATAGGCTCTATAATGAAGAGCATTTATGTGTGGTATTTGTTTGGGCTTAAAAAAGCAATTTTAAGAAAGCTATTTTCCATATGTGTAGTGACAATTCTAAGGTTTTTGAGAGATCTATGGTTGATTTCACGTTCTTAGGGCCTGTTTTGCACTTGTAGAATTGTCCACACAATCTTCCTAGGTTGAACACGAGCTTTGAAATGCCTGGGATCAAGTGTGGAAATCGTTCTAGGGACATTTTGGCTTCGGTTGGATGAGAAGCACGCCCGCTGCGAGTTCCTGGCGGCTGGATTTTCTTGTACAAAGTGGAGGGAAGGAGCTCGGGTGGGTGCCTCACGCAGCAGAATATTTCAGCAGCCTAAGGAGGCTCTACGGAAGAAAGCAGCAGAGACTAGAGCAAAAAAGTTCCTCTTTGAACCCTAATCAAAGGGTATTTTACAAGGGCTAAGGTCTTTTGGATAATCAGCACGGCCCAAGATGCATCCAAAGACAGGTATTTTTAGGAGGGAAACCAAAGCTTTAGTTGGCCAGATGTTTTGAATTTAGAGACCCCATTAAGTAGGGCGTTAGAATGCACTTTGAAGGGCCGCTTAATGTTGGGCTGAAAAGGGCGAATTAACCTATTAAAACTGGGGGTTGACCAGGCAAAGTGGGGACCTGGGGCCACGAGCCAATAGCCAGTGACCGGACCGAGACGTGCTGGCGACCCGCCCGGGACACAGGTGCTGGGTCGAGTACAAGCGGGCACCACGCGCCTCTTCTTCGACCGACGCATCATCGTCAGAGTGGTCGTATGCATCCACACCCCGCTCCCCCTTTGCCCATCGTCGGCCTGACCCGACCTGGTCGTCGCCAGCACTGTGAACTTCTGCCATCCTAGAAGATCGCGACCAGCCACTGCTCCAATACATCTAAGCCCGTCGATCCCCTCTTCCGTGCAGTACCTATTACCACAGATCAGCCTACCGCAGACTGCGTTCCGCTATGCCGTCGCGTAATGTCGCGGGCACGAAGCACGTGACTATTGGAAGTACTGATAGGTATTCTACTATGTCGCCTGCTGAGCTGAACGTTCTACGCCCCCAGTGACGTGTGTTCCCAGAAGATAGAGCAATGAAAGTGGGAACTAGTTAGTGAGAGGGAGCCCAAACCGTTAAGGGAAGGGAAAGCGGAATGCAAAAAGGAATCAGGACCACCCAGGAGGCAGGGCGTGGAGAAAGAGACTCTTCTTCAGGGGCTCACAGAATACGTGAAAGATGAGACCACCGTCTGAGTTCGTGGCGCGGTGGCCATCACCGCGGAGGACGAGGCGTGCGGGGGATTCTACTTGATATTCGGGAGCAGAGTGGGAGAGGGAATTCTGCCCAACTTCCATGCTGGATGGCGGATAATTCTTCCCAATGGGTACAACAGATTTCCCTTCATGACGTCGAAACTCGCCAAGTGGAAAGGAGCCGGAGGTGATTCGGGCTCTGCTACCAAACAGGACGTTGGACCTTCTACTCTGACGTCGAACCTTGGCTCCGAGCTCGTTCGCCAAGTTTTCGGTACCCGAACGCCGGAACTTCTATCGGAGTTATCGGACTTCGCTGAGAGTCTATGCGAAGGAGGGTGCATTTCTTTTGTCCATTGTGTGGACTTCTACCTGAGCGCTTGTCCTTGGGCGTGATCTTCGTCGTCAGACATATAGTATTTCCAACCTCCGTCGCCAGCGACTTTACAGTCCTCCGTGAGCTTGTACGGGGGGGGTGGGCGGTCGGCTCGCAGAGCTGTCTCTCGAGCGTGTGCCTGCTGGCCGCGGGCACCACGTGAGACAAGCGCCATTACAGGCGCGTAAGCCTACCGAGGGCTAGAGGTGAGACTTAAAACAAGGTGCGTGCACACCACGCTGCCGGACTACGAGCTCATTGTCGCATCCCTCCGTTAACGCCCAGCCGGTACTACAGGTGTCCGTCATGTTGATGTAGGAAAGGCTCCATGATCCTTGTCGAGCCTCGTGAGCCACTAATTGTCAAAGAAAATCGAGAAGACATCTTGTGATCCCGAATCCCCCTGTCAAAAAGTCGAACTATTGGGTTTTACTGCGTCGTAGGGGCGTGTAATATGGATATCAGTTCCCAGCAAAAATGCCAGAGCTTATGGGAGAACCTAAAGTTACCGACGTACAGCCGATATCTTGGTCAGAACATTCGACGGGCGATTTAATACGGAGGAACGAAGACTGGCAGCAATTAGGAAAGCAGAGAGGGCCGAGACGTACGGATACCTCCTGACTCTACAATACGCCCGGGCGGGCCGCCCGCTACCAGCTTGACAGTCCCTCCTGCGCGACCTCCGTCGCCCCGCCTGTTGACTACACGTGGCCCCCTTCGCCTCGCGCGCAGCGTAGTGCAGCGTCAGTGCGCCCCGCAAGGGCGGTGTGACTACGATGGATCGCGCTAAGGCTGAGATCTTCATGTGACAAGAAGCGAGATAACTATAATTATTATAGAAAAATCCAGCGGCCCGCAAGGGCGGTCAGTAGGCTGAGTCAAATGACAAGAGAGATTCCCAAACGGGAGAGTCGACGACAATAAGCTTCTGTGGGTTGTGATTATCGCAAGAGCTACATAGAGTAATATAACGTGGACGGTGGGCGTCATTAAAATGGATAAGGGGGGGGTACATCGCAGTAGGAGAATTTTTTTTTTTTTTTTTCTAACAATTTTGTATAGGGGGAGTTGGTTCCTCTTTTTAAGAACAAAGGTGATGCACAAGAGTGAATTATAGAGGAATTTGGTAAATGTATCATATATTAAAACTATGGGAGAGAATTATTAAGCATAGGTTATGACATGATACTAATGTTTCTTAAAATCAATTTGGATTCATAACGAGTAGCTCTACTATGAAAATTATACATTTATTGAGAGGTTTGATGGATAAGTATAGAGAAAATAAGGAGGATCTACATATGATATTTATTGATTTAGAAAAAACATATGATAAATTTTTAAGAAAAGTGTTCTAGAAAGTTCTATAAAAGAAATGGGTTAATAATGTTTATATTCAAGTCATTAAAGATATGTATGCAGGAGCTGTTGTGTTCAAACACAAGATTATTTGACCACGTATTTTTCTATTTTAGTTGGATTACATCAAGGATCAACTTTAAGCTCATATCTTTTCCTTTAGTAATGGATGTTCTTCCTAGACGTTTGCAAGAGGAGGTTCCGTGTTGAGTGTTGTTTACTGATGATATTCTTCTTGGTGATAAGACTAGAGAGGGACATGAAGGAAAAACTTGAATTATGGAGATCAACCTTCAAGTCTAAAGATTTTTCATTTGAGTAAGAACTAAAATCTAATATATGGAGTGTAATTTTAATAGTAATAGATCTAGTGGGGGATTGTGACTTTGGGCGATCAAGTCATTAATAAGAGTATACGTTTTAGATATCTAGGATGTATTGTTCAAAGTGACGGTGAAATAGATAGGGATATAATTAGTAGAATTAAAGTTGGATGGTTGAAGTGGAGGAATACATCAGGGTATGTTACGTGAGAGAAAAGTACACCTCAAATTTAAGGAAAATTTCTATAAGATGATGGTGAGACCTGCAATGCTTTATGGCACAGAATGTTGGCCATTAAAAGAGAAGCATAAAATTAAGTGATACAAAGATGAGGATGCTTAGGTGGATGAGTACCTTAGTGGCTTCACGCATAGAGACAGAATGTGAAATGAGTATATATGTGAAAGGTTGGAGTACTTCCAATGAAAGATAAGATTATAAAGAGCCGCCTTAGATAATTTGGACACATAAAACGTTAGCCTTTCGATGACCCGATTAGAAGAGTAGATATGTTAGATTTGCTTATATTAAGAAAGGTAGAGGTAAACCTAAAAATATTTGCTTAGAAAATATTAGAAATGATTCTTTTTTTATCAGATTTGAATGAGAATTTGACTCTTAATATGACACAATAGAGTAAAAAGTACATCTTGAAGGCTTAATATGTGAAGCATATCTAATGTACGAGACAACCTAATTTTGCTCGTATTACTTTGTCACAACGTCACGATCAACTAGGAGTAAAGCACCTCAAAATGTTGGTCATGCAGATTCATGTAAATCCTCAAATATATCTGTATTAACGAAAGTGGTGAACCTCAGGCGCTAACACCGTACGCTATTTGACTGATAAAGAGATGAGAGCTGCCACATGCCACATTTTATATCTTGCTTAACTGTGATGAAGTTGAGTCATATCTCAAGTAAATATGAGTTAGCTTGTTCATATATTTGTTACTCATAAATCATAACTATTTAAAATTTGCAGGAGTTTCATTAATGGTTTGAGTACATCTGTATCAGTAGAAGTTCAGAAGATAGTAGAAACATAATTCTCTAATTAGTTCAAAAATACAGTATATATTTTAACTATTCATTTATATTAATTTGTCTTAATTAGTTAACACAATAGTCAATAAACATGCTACTAATATATCAACATTTGATCGAACAATTAGGTGCACACTTAAGGTAGTGATTTGTAGTAACAGGACTACTGGATCTAGCGTGAGGATCAAATAGATTAGTGAAATTTTGGCCTCTTTTTTTTTTTTGTTAATGGTTACAAATTTCAAAACAAATTTTGGTGTGAATGTAAGAAGATTGATAATTATGATATTTGTGTAAGAGGGAACACCCATACATGTGATGATTCTAAGTACTATGGGGTATTACAAGAAATATTATGGTTGGAATATCCCGATCACGGGAACAATGTGTATCTATTCAATTGTGACTGGTTTGATCCAGTAAAGAATAGAGGTACAAGAATACATCTACTTTACGATACAACCGAGGTAAAACGGGGTAGGAGATTGTTAGGCCAGCCCAGGAGGGGCCGGCTGGTCCAGGCCCTTGTGTATGGCTGGCGAAACCAACAAAAATGGGGGGGCAAAACCCCTTGTGGGCCCCAATTGGATTTAAATCCAATATTGGGAGGGAAAATTTGAATTAAAAGGATGATTAGGGAATTTCTATCATTCCTTTTGCTTTAATTAGGGATTAATGAGAGAATTAGGGCTCATCTTGAGATTTGGGGAGAAATTTTGAGATCTAGGGTTTTGTTTTGGGCTCCAAGCTTTTGCTAGAGATTGTGGAGAGTTTTCCTTCCTCTTGGATTGAAGGAAACTGTATCTTGCTTTGTGTTCTTGTTTGTTATTTGAATCAAAGTTTTCCCTTGGCATTTCTTCTTCATCCTACAAGAGTTCTTGCATTGCTTTTGCTGATTTTTCATTTAAATCAACCCTTTTGCTCACTGTTTTTGCCGATTATTGGTAGGATTGCTTTCGAACTCAAGTATTACCCTTGGGTTTACTTGCGAACTCAAGTACTTCCTACCAAATTGGTATCAGAGCCTTTTCTTGGGACCATCGGCAGCTGAAATTCCGAAATTTCAGCAAGGGACCTTCTTCCGAAAGTTATCTTCTCGGCAACCTTGGGAGGGAAGATGGCCGGAAGGAAAGTGGAAGTATTGGAGGGAGAAATCGGCCAGCTAAAGACTAATTTGGAAGAAAGAACCGCTGATTTTCAAAACTAATTTGCTTCCATCCATGAAAAGATGGATGGGAGGTTCACCGCCTTGGAAGAAATGATGAAGAAGATGTTAGAGGCAAAGCAAAATCCGACGACATCAGAAGTAAGGGAAGCCACCGGCGACAATGGGAGATGCAGGAACACGAACCCATTTAGGGGGAGGGAGAATATGGAAGTGGAGATCCATGAGGGGAATGATGGAATGCCTCCGCTAGAACTACTTTCTAGGGAGGAGATGAGCATGGGCTATGAGAGAAGAGGTGCTGAAATTTTGGAGAAAAGGGGTG